AATGATGCAAAAGAGTCGCAGCCTCGAATGGTAAATGATGCAGGTGCGTTAGAACCTTGTAAATAGAGGCTGGATTTGCTGTTATATTCTTGTCCAGCTCGCAAACCGGATCCAGCTATCCCCGCTGGAATTGTCATGAGGATGGTGAGGGCAGTTGTTTCTTGTGACTAAATACGTACAAAACACACGAAAATGCGATTCCTTCGTATAATGCGGGATGGTTACGGGTTTATTACTCCGCGAAATACAATCGGAATTCTTTTTAATGTAAGTAAGTGTAATTGTCTCCATAGTCAAGTGATCACTCCATGAAAGAACGTCGGAAAAGCCACTTATACGAGCGCAACGCTGTCCATGAAATGACATCAGGAAAGCTCAAGGTAAATGGAGAATCGGAATGTTTGAGGCAGTGAAGGTAATCACACCAGAATTGTTTATCTTCCGCTTTGGAACAGGGGAGCCATGTGAATATCTTATTCCAGTTGAGTAATTTGTGATACTGTGAGTACGAAGCGAGCTAGACCCATTGATTTAGACCCCGTGAAAGTGGCATCTCCCAATTGGCGGAAAGAGCTCCAGTTGGAAAAATGGGTGAGTTCTTCATCTCCCGGAGAAATGGTCAAGTGTTTACGCCTGCTGGCTGTTGAGAATAAGTCGGCCATTCCCCGTGGATAACCCATCTTTTTTGGCCGATGTAACTGGAAATCTCGGGAAAAGCGGACAACGGACAAGAGACGGTCAAACGGACAGACAGCAATGAAGCAAGCAGCACTATCGAAGGTTTGGTAACGCGCAACGGTGCCTGTGATACATTAAAACCTATGTAATTATGTCTAGTATACATGATTTGCAAGCGCGTTATTTACATCACGTCGCTGGTGTTGCTCAGACTACAACTACTATGTAGAAAGAACGTTCTGCACGCGAAGGGTCAAGAGACTGATATAAAAAACGTGTTTACAAAATTGAACGAATAATACGGTGGTTGTGGAGTAACGGATAAACCGATGATGATGACAGCAGCCCGAATGCGAGAGGCATCTTAGGTGAACCTAAGGCCAAATAGGTTGATACCTAATGCGAAAGCAACAGTACGTAAAGCAACGTTCCAAGCGAAAAAGGCGTTGAAAAGGATCGGCTAGGAGCAAACGAATGCGGGCAACAGTGTGAGGAGCAATTCGTGAGGGTAATTATATTAATGCGCTCCTAATTCCGTTGTCCAAAAGCCATCAGAATCTAGAGAAAAGGGTCACAGGGGCCCAAACCTGCCATGCTTTGGGAGTCGTTATCCCACGTACGGTCACACTAATAGGCAGATGCGAAAATAAGCTAAGAAGCAGAGGCATATTAGGAGAGGAGAGGTGAGCATACTACTGGAAGTAATAGTCAAGCAACACTTAGCAATGGTCCGAGTGCGGCCAGTAATCAGGAGCGAGATCGCAGCGGTGGGGACCATACGCACGAGGATACGTTGGTTCGGAGCAATGAGTGTAAGCCATTGGAAGAAAAATGGAGCGCAATAACAGCGAAGGCCATGGATAAGAGGAAAATAAAAGCAACAAAAGCCTATTGGTAAGTGGAAAAGAGCGAAGGCGCTGTCAGACCCTGGACGGAAATGGCACGGCCAACTGGTGGTAGTAGGAGGGCGGAAGACCGTTCAAATAACGATAGTTTAGTCGGCGCACTGAAACTGGGTCTTACAATTTTGGTGAGAACAACTGTGTACAGTGTCAGCGGCTTTGTGTCTTTTATACGGAGGACGCTAGCAATGCGAATACCCATCACGTCCTGGAACACCGTCGTCAATCCGTTTGCATGGTAATATATAACTGGCAATGTATCTTACTGACTGGTTGCACAATCCCTTATTCGCAGGCATATGATCGACAAATTGCTCTGTTAGCTAAGCGATTGCTTAGTCATGATCCGCCATTAGTCTTTGAAACCGGTCAAGAAGTGAAAGGTCGAGGAAGGTCGGGTAAAGACTTGTGCAGACGTGTAAGGATTTCGAAGTACTGGACTTTGGCATTTTCTTTGTGTCATACTGGACTTGAAGAAAAGACTTCGTGCTCATGGATCCACACAGGAAGTGTCAGGTGGTGAGTGCAATTGCTCCTTATAACTAATTTAGTGCCACCTCTTGAAAATGTGCGCTTCCTCATTCAAGTACGCGATGCGCGGGATGTTCGCAATAATGCTTTTCATATTATGGGTAGAATTAGCAGAGTAATAGTGCCGACCCCCTGCGTTCAGACTAACTAGTAGCGCATATTGTCCACAGAAAGGGAACGGGGTTCCTCCATAGGTAAGTTATTGTTAATAGAAATTGTCTCCATGCCCAGTAATTGCTCCAGGTTATGCTATCAAAAAAGTTCCGTGATAGCTAATTTGCAAAATATTCTTACAGAAACGCAAGGCGCCGAACCAAACTTTTCGAAGACCAGCGAGAGGAAGGAAGTTGTCCGTAGCAAAGTAACGGTGAAAGGTGAATCCATTGTCCATAATAAAAAGGGATCTATGTAAAGACCTAATTCACGTGGGTAAATTTTGAGAATGTGAGTGTGAGGCGAGCAAACCCATTTGTTTAGGCTCCGTGCAAGCGGCATCCTTCTAAATTGCTGGAAGGATAATCCATTTGGAAGCTGCTTGGAATTGAGGCACTTTGTTTCGCTCTAGAGGTCCCGAAGAAGACAGCAATTGTTTTAAACCAGCAAGCTATCATGGATGGATCAGCCAGTGCCAGATGATGAAACGTCTTTTGTCGCCCACCGTATCGGTGGAAAGTTCGGGCAAACATGCATGGAACAAGAGGCAACTAATCTGTCTAACCCATTCTTTTTGCTCTGAAAACTTATCAAACCTACCCACAGTCTGTACTTTGCTGAACTCAGCACGGAATCTGTCACGCGGTGCAAATGTAACACTTTGGCCGATAGCGCTGTCGACAATTGAGCGGATCCAACAAATTGTCCCAACCCCGGGCTAAGCGCAGACCTATGCTGCTCAATAATATGGGCTTCACCCTGACAGGCATGCACGTAATGATCAGGCTTAAATACAGCAAAACCGAGTGACTGGATTGACTCTATGCCGCGAATCGGCGTGAGTTTCATATGCACGACCCCGAGCTCCAGCCTATGCTAGCCTCCATCCATTGGGTTAACCATTCCTGATTTAGCGGGGCATGGCAAATGAACCCTGGTAGCGTCCCACATGCCCAGGCAAACTTGGTCGGACATGATGCGCAATTTTCGACAGTACTTTCTTGGTAAAATACTGGTAGTTGCACGCGTTACTAATTATAATCCTACGGCTTCGCCTACGATCAGTAGGCTTGCGTGGACCCACTCTATGGCATCTTCGGCGACTGTCGCCCATGCTTTCACAGAACCTGCATGATGGGACCGAAATCTTCAATTCGGTGAGGTACACGTCGACGGATTCCTTTAGGACTCTGTTACGCAAAAAGTAGCGCTGGTCGGTCTCCTTATTAAGACCCACACAAAATGCACTGACTCTCACAATGACCGCCATAAAAATAGCGAGAACATCGCCTTTACCGTACTCCAAATTTTCTATCACGTCGCGCGTCGTTCTGGCTATCTCGAAATATGACCATGCGGTATGCTATCAGTCGTTCGGCCAAACGTGCGGATGTGCTGCAGTCCACCCACTTGATCCTCCATAGACGCCAGGTATTCGACAAGGTAGGTTCACATATGTTCGGTTGGGCAGCCAGCTGAATTGACCGTAGTGATACAAACAGTAGCCCAGCGCCACCGGCGGGTTTCATCTTAGTCTCCTCGGACACCATGTTGCAGAATTCAGACCTTCAAGGATGAGCCCTTGTTCGGCGAAAGCAACGCGAAGAAACTTGCAGCGCGATTGTCAAGCCAACTCTCCGTTATAAGTTGCGCATTCACGTTCCTAACCAAGGAACACTTTGAGACGTTGAGAAGCTCCTTGTAGCTCAGTTAAACAATTTTGCTGAATGCAATTTCGTGTCAAGCAATTTACCTTTAGCAAGCAGTACCGTAACACCTGATTCCCATTGGCTATCTGGTTGACTCTGCTAGCAAATCCGTTCACACTGGTATGACACTGCCGTCACACTGGAACTGGTTAAGGCCTTAAGGACACGTTTCACTCAAACGAAAGGTTCCAAGGGGGATCGCGTTGACACTACTGTGCCGAAAAGCAGTTTTAAGATCCGATGGAACATACCTCACGCTGCAAAAGGCATTGTGGGAGCGTAACGCATTGCGCGTTTCTCTGTGATAGCAATTTTAAGTAGTCGAGTATAGACTGCATTAGTATACACGTAACCAGTCGGCCCATAAAAAACCAAAACTAGATGTTTAACACCCGTAATCTGTTGCCAATAAACTAGGCTCGATGCTGCATTGAAAAAGCGAAGGCCGACTTAAATACCCCGCCAACTAACTGTGTGACTAAATCTTTAAATGAAGCGGAAGGCTTATTAGGTTCTTTGCCTTCCTGAATGCAGAAAGCGCCGCTTGCTGGGTTATATTTGTTGGCAAACACCGATAACCTTAATGAACTGGGTGGATAAGAACGGATTTCATGAGAGTACTAAACGGATGGAGAAGTTAAAAATAGAAATAATTTGCTTTGGAACAGACAAAAGTACTTATTTCATAGCAAATAAATTGGTGGCGAATCGGTAAAAAACACCCAAGCGATGGCATGTATGCTAATGATTGGCTCGTTAGAAGAGGAGGGTAACTTGGAGGTTGCAAGCGAATTGCAGCCCACCTTAGGAAGGATAAATAATTATTCCGGTTACACATATAATCTTCAGCTTGCGTTTACTACGAAGCTGACTCTAGCCGATCCTTTTGTGTGTTTAAAACCACTGTTAAGTTGTGCTCGACTGGACGAACGTAGACGTTACAGTTATCGGATTTCGCATCGAAACCTCTTCGCGTGCTATTTTTCGGTCTGCGCATAGTGATGTTCCTCCATGTATATTGGTCCATATGGATTTAGACGATAGTGTTCGAAAATTACTCAGACTTGGTTTCGAGAATGAACAAGATGTTCGCGCCGCACTTAAAAGAACGAATTTGGACGTTAACCAGGCTATTACTTTGTTGTTGACGAAGCGCGGTTCAGGATGTGTGGGGACCCTCGATGCAGTGAGTATATTTTGCAGCTCGTTTGTATGTATGTATATCAGTGTGCCTGTATTTATGCATTACGTTTATTTTATGGTTGTTGCGGAGGATTTCTTTGCAAGTGGCTTCTCTTTACTTTTTTCAAACCTTTAAATTCATTTGGCCAACCTATCTATTTGTCTGCATTGTCTAGCTTGCTTATTGACTGCTGGAAATTTGAAGCTGGCATGCTTCTGCTGCTACTGTTTGCCTAATTTGTATTTGATTACTTTAGGCGTAGTCTTTTGAGACTCTACCATAGCTAACTAACCGGTCCATGTCTGCGGATAACGAAGTGCTCCTGGATGTTACGTTTCTTTTGGACTTTTGGTGAAGAAAAGCGTACAGATTAAATTAGCCTGGCGATTCATTGGCTGAATACGTTGACTTTGTTAAGTATAAGGCACGATGGTGTCCAGAACCTTGGATTGTGGTAAAGGCGTCACTTCAAAATCAAAGGCTGTTCAGTGCTGTCTGCAATGGTTGGTGGTGGAGTAGTTGAATGAATACTAGGAAGTTTTAATACCTTAGGCAACGCAAAAACTTGGAGACTCAACTCACAGTCTAATCACAGTTGAGTTCGAATCGTAGATTGCGTTATGGCTGTGGCACACGTCGAGCACGATTGAAATGGACGTTCGATAGTAAACGAGTCTAATATCCGATTCGCAAGCAGACTGAACGGCACCGTACACACGAAGAAGCACCACCGCCACAACTCAGCACAACGGAGCGCGGTCTACGAAGAAGTATATTGTAATCGTTAATTCAAACAACCTGCGAAAGATGTCCTGCTACAATTGATGACAGGAAAGACAAAATGTGAAGGCTTCATACTTATCGAAGGTACTTCAAGTGATTTGACGTGGCACTGGCTATTAAGACACCACGTCGATGTAGATGAATACAAAATCTAGACCACAAAAGACCTGGTCTATGAAGCGTTGAATGGACTGTGTTGCATTGCGAAAGCCAAAAGGCATACGAATAAACTCGGTAAACCGAAAGGTGTGGTAACAACTGTTTCAGCAATGTCCTTAGGTGTCAGTGGAATCTGATGTTACACTCACATAAGGTCAATCTTGGAAATACCGGATTTCCCTAACAATCCCAATGAAAAATCATGAATATAAGGGATAGGGTGTCTGTCGGGGATGGTAATGTCGTTGAGTACCCGATAATCACCGCATGGACGCCTATCACCGGATTTTTTGGGTACAAGATGAAGTGGGGTAGCCCAACAAATGTTGGATGGGCCAATGATGCCGAGGTTGATCATATGCAGGAATTCACGTTTAGCCTCTTAGAGCTTGTCAGATGGGAGACGTCTCTGTCTGGCTGACACGGGTGGACCTGTTGTGACGACATGATGAAGAACCTCGTGTTTAGGCTCGGTAGAATCGGTATTAGTACCGACCAAAGACGGGAATTGATGAGGCAATGATGAATACAGAGTACTTTCTGTCATGAGTACGCGAAGTCCGACGGAAGTGACTGGGGGAGATGTCATGGGACCGTGAGCTAGGTGCTGTCGTCACGTAACTTCCTGCACCGTAGATCAACGACGAGGCCAAGTTTGCTAAGAAAGTCGATGTCAATTATGGGTTTTTGGACATCTTCGTTGGAAAAGATAAAAACAAATTCGTTTCGTAAACCAAGGCTTAGATGCAACAGCTTTTGGCCGTATGTCACAATCTTTGTTTGGTTAGCCATCTGTAACGTGAGTCCGGCTTGTTGCAGTGCGCGATTTTCCAAAAATCATGGTATAACGCCGATTTCTGCGCCCGTATCGACCAGAAAATGAAATTTAGTCGTGAAGTCGAATAGGTACAGAAGTCGACTGAGGATTTGGCCAGCGACAGCCGTCGCCATTACTGGTTAGCTTTCGCGTTTCCCGGTTGTGAAATCGGAATTCCTTTCGGATAATTGCATCCCGGGCGACAGTTATGTGCTGCTTTACCGAAGCGACGGTAGAAGTAGCAATACCACCGCTGGCGTGAGCTTGATGTGCTGCGGCGCGGACCACGAGAACTTCTTTGGTTAGTAGTGCGCTCACGTCGAATGGCAGACATGCTTAGTCCTAGATGGGAGATTCTATCATTGATCAAATTAAGTGTAGTGCCATGGGACGAGCTGGCTGTGTTGGCCTCGGCTACGTGATTAAGGATGTTCCTCAAGAAACATTCGTGCGACGTTTCCGCTGCTTCTGCGAGCTTTTCCAGCGTGATATCCTCGATAAGAGCCGCGAAAATCGCTGTGGTGTTCATCGGAAGACATTTCGTCGAAAGTTGGCGGGGTATGAAGTCATCGAGCACGATTGAAATAGATGTTCGATAGTAATTCCGAGTCTACTATCCGATTCGCAAGCAGACTGAACGGCACCGTACACACGAAGATGCACCGCCGCCACAAATCAGCACAACGGAGCGCGATCTACAAAGCCATATATTGTAATCGTTAATTCAAACAACCTGCAAAAACGTCCTGCTACAATTGATGACAGGAAAGACAAAATATGAAAGAATAACCACCACAGCGGCTCATACCAGTAGAACTGTGTTACCTTGACTTCAGTAAAGCTTTTGCTTCACTGGATCACCGTATCTTGTTAGAAAAATGTCCTGGTTTGGAATCCCTCCTCAATTGCTTTCTTGGCTGTCTACCTACCTTTGTGGTAGGACATTCCGTGTCTGGGTTGGTGACTTTATTTCGATGACAGGCACTGCTCGCAATTGAGTTACTCTGGGATCAGTACTCGGTCCCTTGCTATTTCTCATGTTTATAAATGACTTGGTCCCTCTACTTGACTTCTCCTGTGTGTTTGCTAACGACTTGAAGCTTGTCAGCAGGAGTGACAGGGCTTCGTTATTTAGGGATTTTGCTACCGTACTTAATTGATCAAATTTGTGGGACCTACCACTGAACACCAGCAAATATCAAATCCTAACCCCGCGTGATCAAGAGTTTACCGTGCATACATCTAATGGGACCCTAACTGCTGCATCATCTCACCAAGGCACGGGATCTAGGTGTCATCGAGACAAGTGAATTAAGCCCTCGGCGCAGTACAGGCACGCGGCTAATAAAGCGCAACAGGAGTTATTTCATCTTACGAGAGTTCTGAGTTGTACCAAGTCAGAGGTCTTTCTTCTGTTGTTCATCGCTGTGGTCCGACCTCATCTGGAATATTCTCTTCAGGACTGGGCCCCTACCTGCAGTAAGATATTATTTGTATTAAGAATGTGCAAAGGGTAACCGCACAATTGCTAGAAGGCCAGCGTGGGTTACCATATGAAGATCAGTCAGCTAACTTGGTTTCGTTTTCGATGAACAGACGCAGATTGAGAGGTGACTTAATGGTGACGCTCAAATCATGAAAGGACTCAGTTCTCTCAGGCCCACCGATCTGTTTCCACTAGCTACGTCAGATAGCTTGTGGGAATATTGCATGAAATTGAAGCCGCATATATCAAGGCTGGAATTAAGATTCAGGTTCTTCGCAAACCGTGTTTTGCCTGTTTGGAGTAAACTTCTGCTCTATTAGCATGCAAAGGTGGTTGAATTTAAACATAGCCTAGACGAAGGTTAGCTGGCCTTGTTTCCCGAATTTCCTTGAGCTTCAGGGACTGCCCCTAGTTTCACTACTACATGGTAGTGTGTTTCTCTTGCAATTGCTTCTGTTTTTTCACCAATATAGGGTCAAGAATATTCTATCAAGTCGCAGTGCTGAGCGCTCTTTTTCACTTACTGGCGCACGAAGTGGGGCTCGTCAAGCGGAAGCTTGTTTTGTCCCTGGATCCTATCCTGTCTTTTCATTGTCTGCTTCGACATCAGTCCATGTCTGTATGAATGCCTCCAGAGGACCACCTCAGTCATCAGTTTCATTTGTGACTCTTGTCGACCTGTACTGAGCGATAGGCATGTCTTGAATGGTCTACCCGCACTTATCCCACGATTCATTCTTAGGCAGAGATATGCACCGTTTCCGGACCGCTGGTGTCTTCACTGCTACTTTCTGCCGCTGGCTCAACCACTCCCTCTGGTAAACGAAGTCGCGTTCCATCGTCGTCGCTATCGGAGCCGCTAACACTTGATGTTGGCAACTATGAGTCTAAGGGCAAGACTTATACGGCGGTAGTGTGTGAGCATGCTAAACAAGCATCTGCTAGCAGAAATGCAAATCTGCGTGAGAAGAAAACCAAAGGTGATGCTAAGCCGGGATCCAACAAATCTGCTCTTTCCGATCTGAAGCTGGTCCTTGACCGAGTAAACCAATTGGAAAGCGCACTTAAGAACAATATACCTCTCGTCCTAACCCCCTGAGTGCAGTAAACCAGCTCCCTGTGACCGTTGTTTCGTCACTATGAACGCTCCTGAATCTAACAAAGTTTCTCCGGCTGAAAGGATCCTCGACGACCAGAAGTTTCTGAGGCGGATAGTCTCCCAACTTTTTGATGAAAGTGAGCAAAGGATCAATCTTGTCTCTGCCTTCCCTTTTGACAGAAAGCAAAAAGCTTCTTCTAAGGTTCTTCTCAAGATTGTTTGCCAAAGTGAGGATGAGTATCGCCGCACTCTCTACGGACTCATCGTCTTAAAGGAGAAGCGTTTTACGTATTGGGAGACTTCTGCCTAGGGGATCGAGTCCGAATGAAGAGAGCTGTGGAAGAGCTACGAACACGCCGGACAAATGGTGGGATTAACTTCAATATTGTGGATTTTCGTGTGGTTCATAAGCTCCGACAGTTCGCTAGAGGCCAGTCTTTGTCGCGCCCGGGCGAAAAGATTGAAGAATGGTTTGAGGGTGATATCTGCCAATGTACGTAGCCTACGAAACTAACTTGATGAAATTTAGTTCCTTGCCTCTGAGAATCCCCCTGACTTTATGGCTTTCACAGAGATTTGGTTGTTTTCGGACATTTTGCACTCCGAGGGTTTAATCTATTTCGAGTGTATCGTTCTGGTGCTAGGTCTGGAGGCGTTGT